AGAAGGGGATTGTGGGATGCTACAATGCATGATCTGTTTGGGTATTTTGGAGCCAACACTTTCAGAGACATGTTTTGTATAAAACTGATACTTATAATATATTGATGAAAACAGTATAATAGGGTGACCTGTTAATACGTTTTTAGGGGTTAAGAGCCATATTGAATTAAGAAGTTGAACCAAAGAATACATCTTTGTAGCAGAGTCCTGCACGGGTCTGTTTTTTCAAGACCCCGCTCCCGGCCCGCACCCGGCGACGTGCAATACCGAACCCGCCCCGCGTACCCGCACATATTGTCAAATTAGTTCGCAACCCGGACCCGACCCGCCGGCAAAGATCCGCAACCTGCGACCCAACCCGCATATAATATAAGCAGTGAAACGTGCAATTATTAACACCACGCAGTTGCATGTTGGCTCAAAAGCCTGGGAGGTTGGTTATTTTGTATAGGATGACACCAAAAGCCTCCCAGATGTGTTGGATTTCGCTCTCTTGAGGAAGAGTTATTGAAATGCTTATTCTCCGTTAAGAGAGCTTCACCTCAGTCATTCAGAATGTGGCGGCGCTCAGCCGGCAGATAGATGCGCTGCAGAGGTTGATGATTATGGCTCGGTCTCCGCGGGGGAGAGGTCTGTAGGATTTAAACATTAAACTAAATTATTATTATTTAAATATATTTATTATGCAACACCCGCAACCCGAGACCGGCATCATCTTTGTTTTACCCAGAACCGAAACCCGGAAAAAAAAGCGTTTGAAAAAATACCACCGCAAAATCACCTTTTTTGCGGTCACCCGTCGGGTACCCGCGGATACCCGAACCGATGCAGGGACTCTGCTTTGTAGTACTACCGTGTTAGAGACACTGCAAATATTGAAGTCAAAGCACGTTCAAACCAGCCTTGAGCATCATGTGCTTACTTGCTGAAAAAGGGGATTTTTGAGTGCCTCCTCAATAGCACAGTAATCCATACACAAAAATATTTTAACGTAGAATTTGAGTAGATTTCCTGCTGCGTTTTAATGCCAATAGCTGGAGTTACTTTCACTCTGTATAATGTGACAGGAATGAGAATGTTAAAAAGGGTTTAGTAATAAAGTTAAACTCCACAGATTGAATGTAACTGGACCCTCCCGTGGTGTTACGTGTTATTTCATTTGTATACCAGGGCTGGTTTCATTCTTATTCCAGTATGTTTTAAACAACGAGTAGAAAGCTATTCATACTGCACCAATGATACATGATTATTCTCACTGATCCCAAGCAACAATAGATTTTAATCTGGACACAAGATGTCACAGGTAGAGTTGATAATAACAGTTGGAGGTAAACAACAATCTCCCAGCTCTTTTTATTCATGCAGTTTTAAATGTAATGCCTCCTGGAGTTATTGAAAGCTATTTAAACACACAGTTGGGTTTTGTTTGCGCCACAGACACAATAGCAGAAAAAGACAGTGATATAGATGAGGATCCATCTCAGCCAGTAGGAAAAAAACATAGGAAAAAAGATGAGCAGAAAGCAATAATTCATGTCGGAAGCAGTTAAGGGCAAGATGACCAGCTGCCTGGCCAGTCAGAATAATAATGAAGAATCCACTAGCCATACTGTCTACCTACGACGCACGGTTTAAAAAAAAAATATGAGCTTCTCAACATTTTGATTACCGAGCAAAATCCTCAATGATTACCGTTTCATACCGAAAAATCCCACGAGTTGTTTACATTTCAAAGCAGTGCGGGTCACTATAATGTCCATGAGATACGATGAGGA